CCTACAGCCCTAAAATTTTTCATTGCATGATGAATGATGACTGCAAATGATGAAATGATAACTATCAAAGAGTCGACAGACGTGATACGGCTTGAAGGCTCTAAAATCTATCATAATTGGGTCACCAAATAGAGCAACATTTGATATTTTCCGGGAAATGAGTGCGAATAATTTCTGTTCACTTACGTTAACCGCTAAAGACATGACAAATTCGGCCACGGACATGGTCAGTTGAACACCGAAGACATCACCTGACCACCAAAGGACCGCATAAGCGGTTGAAAGAGCGATCAATGGAATCGCACTGAAGAACCATGGCCATACGGCATTTGGTCTCTGCTGAAAGTGACTCGATCGTCGGATATGGACTAATCGCTTATTTCAATCAAAGTCAACACTATTCAACGCTGAATGTAACTTTTCGTGAAAATTGTTGATCAGCAGTTGAAATCAATCAGCTGAATCGGTTAATAACTGTGATCTTAATGATGATGCGAGATTTTGATTAGAGGCAACTGAATGCTTTCAAGCAAATTGACGAGAACCAATGAATGCCTTTATACGGTCACTAACCATTGCGCTCCCGATCAGAAGAACACTGGTTAAGCATAAATGTGCAAAACTGAAGAATAGCGTTGCAACAGCGAGTGCGAATAATGCTGAAAAGAAACTGATTCAGTGAATTATTCATTTGGCATTCTCAGTGCGCAAATTTCATTGGTGGAGGTAAAATATTACCGGTGACAGCTGGACGTTTCGATGAAATCAACTATCATAACTGAGACTATTTCGCTTGAATTTCATGCTTTTATGAAAAATAATTCATAGTTCGATTGAATCAGTCGATTCTGCTCGCAGTCAAGCATTCGTTCATGTGATCAAGTATATTTCACGGTTTCATTCAGATTTTCATCAGTTGGTATGAAACCTCAGCGAAACGAATATCCACGATGAGGTTCTCGCTTATATCGTAACATCTCTGCACACCTCATTGCATGTTTCTAGGAGACAAGAGAAGCTCTAATGCTCGACTCAAATCCTAATGAATTTCCGATAAATGATTCTCCTAATTCTTCTGACCAACAAGCGAGGAAAGTTGGAAAACCTTGTATAACCGTAACATTATAATTCAATCAGATTTCGAATAAAACTTCTCGTGACATTCAATAGTATTTCGATTAAAAAACTGCTATCATATACGCGTATAGCAAAATCGTTCACTTATTTATATAGTCAAATTCAAATGACATTCCATCACAAACCATTGAGTCTTCTTTGTTCTGGTGATTCTGAATAAATTGAGTAGACACCAGGGAAGTATGACTGATAAGGATCGAATCTGAAACTGTTTCTAGTGTGAATGAACTCTGAGAGAAAGACAACTGCGAGAAACTGATCAAAAATTTGATTCAGTCAATGTCTTATAAGAGTTAGTGTTTAGAAGTGTTATGAGATTGCAATTATTGAATCGTTCAGGAAAAAATTTTCAGAAATCTGTTTCAATCTGCGAATGAAGAATTTTGTACTCCGTTTGCGTAAAACTGTTAGCAGAACGTTCTTTTTTTGATATTGAATTCAGCAACGAGTATTTTTTAGATCCTTCACTGCTCTTTTTCTGTGTACGGTTACTTCAGTAATCAATTTTAGAAGAACACAATGAGCAGCATTCATTCCATTCCTTCCGAATAGTCTTGTTAATCTATTCTAAATTTCATATAACTGATTGTACATTTGATGAGAACAAATTCTTTCAGAATAAAATTTTGAAGGGAAACTGAATCAAGTTCGAACGGTGGAAGTGGACGATTCCCAAACATCCATTGCAGATCCCTAACATATCGAGTTTGCCAACCAAATATCGCCAGTTGAATCAGTGAATAGATCTGCAAAAATTCCTGGTGTGTTTCACGTTCGTGAGCTTTATGATGACTAAACATTAAGTGCTATCAGAAGGCAGTCGATTACTTTGCTCTTCACCTTCAAAGGTTATGGTGTTGCTAAAGTTTTATCGTTAACAAAATGCAGAAGTGATGGAAACCTCAGTTGATTGCATTGAGCTTATGAAACGTACCCTTATCTTAAAGTACTAAAAAAACGAACAGTAAAAACTACCTAAAACTTTAAAAAATGCATTAACGCTACTCGATCAAACGTGAGAGCACAGAAAGAATTGATACAGTTGAACTTTTGGGGAATAACAACTCGTAAAAAGCGAATGACAGTGATTCGAACAATTATCATTTTTCGTTCCCAGCAGTTGAGCCGTTAAAAAGCATCCAACTTAGGAACGTAGTGTGAAAAAATAAATCCACAAAAAACATTGATGACATCCGAATGAAATTTCAGTTCGGTCGGAATCCGAATGAATTCACTTTCGGAGATTCTGACATTCGGAACTTCGACCGAACTTCAAAATTGTCCGCTCGGAATCCCAATGTTAGAATTCCGATCGAAATTTGTCAGATGTTTCTGACTGAACGTCGATCGGATGCCATTACGAATGAAAAATATAATCATTCACAACGTACAATATTCCAAACCGCAATTGCGATCGTCGCACCCCGTAGACATTGCAGTGGATCAGCCATCAACGATGTATCCCAGATATATTATTCACTCGCTCATTAATTGATCCGTTTTCATATTTTAAACGTTTCCGAAACTATCGACGCATAAATTTTCTAAAAACAATGCAATTTTAAAGGAAAACTGATAGTGACGACAAAGGAGTGCTATAGTATATTCGAGGTGAGGTGAAAAGCAAAACAATATGACGGCGGATTCGTTCGCATAAAACAACAAAAACAACGAATACAATCGTTCACCTGTCAGTCTTGTTTGCGAAACGTTTGCATAAAATATACCGTGTGCTATTTCGCTTGCTCCATTCAAAACAAAACACAAAACAAACCATTCAATGAAACTGAAATGTTGAGATGGTGTGCGTGAAACGTATCGTGTAGTCAACGTGAAGGAGGACTGGATATAAGTGGAGACAAAATGCGAAAGCAAATTGAGAAGAACGAATGAAAACAATCGAAAATATGAGAAGCCGTTAAAAGACTAAGAACCAATGTATAGATAGTTGAGTTGGTTGGTTATTGAGCTGATGACGATAAGACATTCGAAACGTTTACGATTAGAGTATTCAAAAATCCATAAAATGTGAAGATACCTGTAGATGAAAACAACACAAACGCGTGCAACTCACACAAATAATATCGATGTACACATACAGAATCAGCACAAATATTTGCATTTGTACACATGATTTAACGGCTGGTTTGATGGATTGTTTGCTTTAGTGCTGA